TCAATGCTGAAATCACATTTCAAAAGAGTTGATTACAAAAAGTTCCCGTGATTAAACTCTCCTCAAAATTTTGGATTGAAAATACACGGTTTGAAATACTTTTTAAACGGTGTAATTTATATCCACAGGCTATTGCTGCCACTCTGGGCTATGAATTAACAACAGTGTAAAATCACAGGGACCTTAGCGGCGATTTTTGCAGAGTCAAAATAATGAAAGTGGGGTTGTTTCGTTGTTCGAAGATAAAATACACATGGTTAACAAATACAAAAAGTTATTTCAATGACATTTTGTTGATGGGCATAAAGTTAAATTCCTGATATTTGCCGTTATCTATATTTTTCGCTTCATGAATATTCATCAAGTAACGTCGACTTACAACTAACTCGTACATAAACCGATTCGTATATAAGGAGTCAATGTTCGTATGCAATCCACAGAAGTCAATTTGTACACAAATTTGTCGTTTTTGTGAACATAAGTCATTTCATACAAACGGCTGTTTTTATACATGGTTAAAAAATACTCTTAAGTTATTTCAATGACATTTTGTTGATGGGCACAAAGTTTAATTCCTGATATTTGCACTTATCAATACTTCTCGCCTTATGAATACTCGTTAAATTACGCCGATCTACAACTTATTCATACACAAACCGATTCGTATATTTGTATGAAACTATAGAAATCAATTCGTACACATTTTTTTTCGTTTTTATGAACATGACAAAAATGTGAAAATCATTTCGTACACACGGCTTTTTTAAAGTTGTGTTAATGTAAAATTTCAATAAAATTTATTAATAGTCATGCAGAAAATTTGGGGAAAATCATTTATGGATAATGGTTTGACATTTTAGCTCCGAAATCAAATAATTATTGATAAACAACACACGCGCAGTGGTCTCTTAGTTATGTGACAAACGGACAAATGATATAAACGAGATGTTCCCAATTTGATACTTCCTAATTACGAGATACTCCATGCTTGGAAGTTGATCTCCAAATTTCTCCATTTCCAAAAGTACAATATGGTTCAAGGGCTGCACATTCATTGTTGCGGAATGTTTTATAAATATATTATTTGAGACGTTTTGTGGAAATTTTATACAATAAAACATACAGTTAATTGGATTTTTACGATGTCTTTTGATTGTTTGAATTTCTAGTATCTGTTGACGATACTATATTAGAAAAACATATTTTTTCGGAAAGGAAAAAAAAAGATCAAGACATCTCGACAAGTTAATAAAAGAGTTGTTGGAGGCAAATACGATGCCATAAAATTTGCAACGTTTATTACGATTCTATCTAAAAAAAAAAATAATAATAATAAGCTATTGCCTAATTATTTCGGACATAAAAACTGCTGAAAGGATGCTAATTTATCAAAGCTATAATTACAAAGACTGTGACAGACAAAAGTTATCTATATATTTCATTCGTATTTGGAAATACTATCGTTCCTCGAATAAAATTTAACCTTTATAATGTGTGTAAAAAAAAAAAAAGCTACACAAATAGATTACGTATGAGAAATAGCATCGTCGTAAACCACGGCCAAAATAAACGATCCTCTCCCATCTGGAGAGAGCTATATGCGGACTCTCTGAGACAATGGAGAAATAGAGGCTGAAAAATATTTTGTTATTCTGTTATTTTGGTTTTTTTTTTCTTTTCGAACAGTAATATCAAAGAAAAAAGTAAGATTTATGTACATGTACAATTTTTGAAGTTTTTCAACCTTTTGGAAATAAGTAAATTGTTAACCTATAGGGTTCAGAATGGACATTTTATCTGAAGATTTTAAACTTGGACTATATTCATAACATAATCATTCTAGTTATTAATAGTGACAGTAAAATAAAATAAAAGTTTGTTAAACGGGGATATACATTGTTTGTGTACCACATACAGTGATTTTATAATTGGAAAAAAGACTTTAAGAGCATGAACTATAATCATATTATTAGATCAAATTGGATGTTGAAATTGATACAATGAACTATAATTTTGTAAACCATTCTGTAATGGAATTGATCAGAATAGACCAATCAAGCCCATCGATACTAAGTAATAGAATTTGAACGGAAATGTAAAGTTACTATTAAGAATCTTGATCAAGAGTAATAGAATTGGGAACTTTGAAGCAGATAAGTAAAAGAGCCTAGGGCTAGAACTCCTGTGGTGCAGAGATGGGGACCGAGTCCATAAATATTATTAATGAAGGTATACCTGGATTGGAGGGTGGTGCCATGTTGGGGTTCATAGGTCAACGGACAGACCTACGGACTAAGCGTAGGTGGTATGGCAATGTTAAGTCAGCCAATGAAAAGTACTTTTATATCCGGGACCATGAATACTCTCTGAGCACAAAATATCCTGTTTTGAAAACGGCATTCTTCATGCTCTATTCACCCTGTTTTGAAAACGGCATTCTTCATGCTCTATTCACTCTATTCTATTCTCTTTTCTTTGACTCTTTTGGAATACTTTTTGGACTCTAATTTTTTGGACCTCACCTTAGTTATTACTTTTGGAGTTTTAATATTATTTAGTTCTACGCTCTTCGGGAATCTTTGGGACAGATCTTTAAAACTTTTGCTACAACTAGAGTATTGGTCTATTCTGGTGAAATTTCAGAAACAAGTATATAAAAACCTATACGATCACGGTGGTTTAATAAACTTTTTTTTAAAATTTGCAAACTTTGTTATTGGCTTACAAAATTGCAGCTAGGAAATTTGGCAAAAATGGGAATCCATACATAAAGCCTATTTCATTGATTTATGTCGCACAATCTACAGTACATGGCCAAAAGTGATTCATCATTTATCATTTGACTTGTTGATAGATTGTATTTGCTGACAAGGTCATTGTATCGACCATAGAACTTACGAAATGATGACTTTAAACGAGACTGTTGATCTTCTTGTTTTATCAACTTGTTCGTCAATAACTTACCTCGTTTTAGAAATTGTTCATACATAGAGCATGCTCTGGCGTATCGAATCAACTGAGAGATATAAACCCCGTATGCAGGTGATAAGGGTATATTGCTGCATAAGTAAGGAAAGTTGACGATTGAAAAATTAAAGTCATTACGTTTATCATAAAGCTTGATTGTTGGATTACCATTAACGTCTTTTTCTAATAAAATATATGAAACAGATGTGTCAGAATCTGTGGTATCTTTTATCTCAAGCTCACAAGGATATATCGTGTCGACATAAAAATGGAAACAACCATTGTTAATTGACAATACGCCGTCAATATATCTAAATGTCGAGTTGAAGGCCACAGCACGTGTTTTCTTCTTTTCAAGTAAAAGATTTTGAACGAATTCTGCTTCATATGAATACAAAAATAGATCTGCTAATAACGGGGCGCAATTGTTACCCATGGAAATTCCAATAGATTGTTGGAAGACCTGGTCTCCAAAAACCACATACATGTAGATATTGTCAATCAGAAACTCGAGCATCTTTTTAATGTCAACTTCAGAGTACTTGTGCATACAATCAGAGTGCTTTTTAACAAAATAATTTTGTAAATGACCAATGACAAGTTTAGTAAATTTACGAGTTCCATTTTTAGTAGCTGTAAACGATGTCGGAAAGTCTGGACTTTAATTTATCGTGGGGAATAGTTGTATATAAAGTTGAAAAGTCTTTTTTCAAAAGTTATTATGTTGTTGATTTTGGTACAATTTTGTGATTTCAAATGTTCCAAAAGTTCCTTGGAATTTATTAAGTATCCACATCTGATTTACACCACTTCTCGAATATATTGTTGCACAATACTCTTGAAGTCTCTCCTTCACTACTGTTAATATCTTAGTGAGGAGTAAAGAAAGAGGCCTGGTAGAACATTTACTGGAACCCGCTATGTATCTTTTTCTGGATTTTTATGAAGTTTCGGAATCCAATATAGATATGGTAATTCAAATTCATTTTGGTTGTTGGGAATATTAAAAATATTCAAAACTGACATATGATTTTGAAGAATTTCCTCCTTAGAAAGGGAGCTATGGGTATAAGTTGGATTACCACAAGTAGAATTAAATCCAGGTTCCTCTAAAATACAATTTATATGATGAGCCTTACAAACAAAGACAATGTTGTTACCTGCTTTGTCAGCAGGGAACAGTACATACTGATCTTGTAATCTATCTAAGTCTTTTTTCACTTCTGAATTATTGAGTACAGAAGGGTAGATGGTTTTCATACTGCCCCTCAATCGCTTAATGCGAGATTTTAACATACATCTGATACATTTAATCCATTCTGACAAAGTGTCAAGGTCTTCTTTTTCATGTCTGACCCAACACCTGGCGTAATCCTCTACAGAATCCATAATATGTATGAAATTACGTCGCCAGTTAAAGGATCGGGGTTCCCTATATTTAGGACCTTTTAAAATTAGTGATCTAAGGTCCTCATTATTAACAACAGGTAACTCTCGATACTTCAAAGTCCGCGGGACAGCGGAAAAACTTCGAGAGATCAAGAGTTCGAGTTTTGAAGAGTCCGGAATTTTCCGGGTTGGCCGACAGGTTTTTCAAATTAGTCTAACCGGATGTTATGATTCATTCCTTTAGTTCCAGAGCTAATCTTACACACATGCTATAACAACGATATTCCATTGTATTTTTCAGGTGAATATACAGATCTGGATGTTTTATAACTTGATAAAAGAAAAAATATTGTCATAATATTTATTTATTTTACGTAAGACGAACATCATATATATTATGCATTCATTGTACATGAACGAATGATGTAATGAAAACCACATTTTATAACGCTGTAACAAAGACAATTTACATACATATAGATCTATTAATATCATTTAAGCACACATTCGTTTTTAATAAATATTTCAAATGAAGTGTCGAAACATAAGTATCTAATCACAGAAATGGAAGCACAGTCACTTTAGTTTGTTGCATTTATACAGTCACTACTCGGCACTGGCATAGTCACTACGCTAACACATGATCACTTAAAAAAGTTCGGAATGTGAGATTGATGGGAAGTTTTCTTCTTGAAAATGTCTCTGTTCACAAGATCACAAATAATGTTAAAGTTCGTCAAAATGTCACTACTGTCGGCACGGTTTTGAAGGTTGGCAAGCACAATGTCACATGCACTAGATACTTTTTCAAGGCAAGGAACGGGGGCAGGGCGGTCGTCGGGATCGCTCTCTTCTACAGATTGGGCTTCTGGCTCTCTATTCATTTTGACTTCCTCTAAGATGTTATCATCTGTTAAGTCAACACATGTCTGCAATTCGTTGTCGGCGTCAGTAAACTGCTGCAGGACATCGGGGGTCAGGCCAAGGTCTCGTAATCTGGACAAGGGGATATTATCGTCAATGTCAAACTCGTCTTCTTCTTCCTCGGTCTCTGTTGTGGTACTGTTGGCGAAACCAGCGTGTTTGAAGCAGTTGGAAATGGTATTCACAGTGACGCAGGCCCAAGCTTGGCTCAGCATGTGAAGAGCATCTAGGATAGAGATGTGTGGAGTCTCTTTCTTATCAATGGCAGAAATGTAGCGTAAGAGAACTCTTTTTCTGTAGTGGACCTTAAGGTTTTGGATGATTCCTTGGTCCATAGGTTGGGTCTTGGATGTTGTGTTGGGTGGCAGGAAAATCAGCTCTATGGACTGCAGACCAGGAATCTTGGGGTGAGCTGGACAGTTGTCTATGACGAGGGCAATTTTTCGTTTCTTTTTCTTCATCTTGTCGAGCTGCTTAACCCATGTTGAGAAGATATCTCCAGTCATCCAGGCTTTCTTGTTAGCATGGTATTCCACAGGAAGGGACCGCACGTTCTTGAAACATCGAGGATTGGCTGACTTTCCAATCACAAGAAGTGGCATCTTGTCTGTGCCGTCCATATTGGCACACACCATAGCGGTTAATCTTTCGTTGTTTTCTTGCCGCCATGACAATCTACATCCTTGAATTCAAGGGTTTTGTCAGGCAACAAGCGGGATAATATACCGGTTTCATCAGCATTATAGATGTCTTGAGGGGGGTAGCGTGTGTGAAGAAGTTTCAGTTTTTCTTGCCAGACTGACATATCATCAGACTGCGTGTCAACTGACTTTTCTTCACCACAGACTCTTTTAATGTAATCCCTTGTCGGGATTTGAAATTTTCTAGCCAGCCGTTACAGGTCTTAAAGTCTGTAACATCTAGTTTCTCGGAAAATTCCTCAGCTTTCGTAATTAACATTGGCCCAGAAATGGGAATGTTCTGGTCTCTAGCAACTTTAAACCATTTCAAAGTGGCCGATTCAACATCGTTAAATGAACCTGTTCTTGTATTTTTTTCTTTTCGGATTGAACTGTTGGTAGGCATTAAAAATTTTTTCTTTGTTTTTCAACCACGTCGACAGTGTATTAGGTGGTACGCCGAAGTCTTTGGCTATCTCAGATTTTGATTTCTTCCCCCTCTCGACCGCCAGAACTGCTTCGTATTTCATGTCGATACTTTTCATGTTTAGTTTTCTTTTTAGGCCTTTGTTTCCTAATGCAGACTTTGCATTAGGTGCAGATTTTACTGATCTGGCTATCCCCCGGACTGACGGGGTCCTTCTACAGAGTGCTCAGTAATACTGCACTGCGAGGCAACTTGTCGTAAAATTGTTTTCTGAGTTGCATCTACTGATCTGGTTATCCCCCCGGGTTGCCCGGGTTCTTCACCAGATTGCTCAGTAGTACTACTCAGTTCTGTAAGTACTTGTTCTGCAATGGTCGTCATAATTACATTGATGCTGTTATGCTTAAATTCTGCATTTTTATAATTAATTAAACTTTGACACGGACTCAAAATTAGTGTCTTGTCTCATAATTAATTTCTCATTTTCACTGTGTCTCCAAATTATCATAAGGCGATCGATTATCAATCAATTATCACCTTGCAGTACTGGTGTCAGCTAAATAAACATCCCGTTACACGGGCCACGCGTGTAACGCCTGGAGCAATTAAAATATCCAGGTAAAGGTGTGAATTAGATAACGCTTGCGTACACAGGTAAGCACTTCGAGGTATCGAGGGTAAATTACAATAGATTATGCATAACGGGACTGAATTTTGACTTCGAGGGATCAAGGGTTTCGAGAGATTGAGAGTTCGAGAAATCAAGAGTAAATTTGCTTAGTTATATAAGGAAAAAAACGGGACCGGAGACTCACTTCGAGAGATCAAGAACTTCGAGAGATCGAAGTTCGAGCCATCAAGAGTTACCTGTATATTTACGTCACCAGTTATAAGGTGTCCAGAAGGACTATAGTTATAGGGTGAAGAAGAGCATGAACACAAAGGAGGATTATGTTTCAGATGTTCGATATCCAGTTAAAATACAGTTATAATAATGAGCATTACGAACAAAGACGATATTGTCGGCTTGAACCATAACCTAGCTATTGTTCATGTAGTCTTTTCAATTCTTTTATCACCTATGATTTGGTGAATACGGAAGGATATATGTTTCTCATGTTTCCTTTTAAATCTATTATACGATTTTGTAATACATGTACATGTATTTTTCTAAAACTCTAAATCCATTCTGACAAAGTATTCAAATCTCCTTTTTCATATTTAGCCTACCGTCTGGCATAATCTTCGACCTAATTCATAATAGAAATAAAGTCCTATCCCCAACTGAAAGATCGGGGCTCCCTGTAGTTAGGACCTTTTAAAATAATTGCTTTCAGGTCTTCATTTTCAACTATATTGGCATTACTATTAATGATATGCCCAGCTAGACTGTAGTTGATAGAAAAAGAGCAAAGCACTGAAGAGGATTTTGTTTCAGATGTTCAATATCTAGACATTGCAAGGTTTGTTTATAATTGAAAAGTTTGGAAGCAACAGTTTTGGAGTATCTGTAGGAAATGCAGGGTGTAGAGTGCAACTTGAAATATGGTGGAATGCAAGACTGAACTTTTATGATTACAAATGTTGCTAAGACTGATTAACTGATTTTATGAATAGAAGTGGTGGTCTGGCACCACTTAAATCCAATCCACCACTTATATACATATATGTACAATTCAATGACATGTACTTGTATCTACATTGCTGTAAATTTAGACGCATATTTGTTACATCGATATCAATTTAGTAACGGCACTGCTGCTGCAAAATTTGTATTGCTTAATTGACAGTCAAACGGTCTATTAAAGTTCCCTATAGAATATTTTGCAATTTAATAGCCTGTATACATTTTCCGAGATGACAATAAACATTGTAGTATTCTCAGGCTTTTATTGAACAAGAGTTAATACATTTTATGTGCCAATATTTTGATATTTTGAAAATCTCTTTCTCGGTATGTAATGTGTATCTACATGTAACAGTGCAAAATTGACTTTTTGAATAAATCTTATTTGAGACTATTATTTGAAACTTAAATACTCGTTTTCAATTGAATTGCAAATCATTATTTGTTGTTGGACTACTTATTTACTTACTTGTATAATGTCACTCTCTGGACAGCTGTTGTAAACCATAAAGGAACATAGTGTTCATGCCCTTTCCACTTTTTCATGTAATTATATATTTATCTTTCTTTCATGTCCATCTTATCAAAGTTTTTCACAGTCTCTGTAATTTACTCAAAACATGTCATTTTATAACTTAATTCACTTTGTCACATTCTTCAATTTTTTTATATACCAGTGTCTGAATTGTATGCGAATTCGGAGGCCAGACACAGTACCTGCCACTTTTGCCTGTATCCACATATTTATTTCTTTATTTTTGACATTGTTGTCTATCGGTTAATAAATTCGGAAACCACGTTACTCGTTACTTTGGACTTACTATAAATGTTGTTTTCGGGAAGAGCCCTATAGAAATACGGCACTACTACTTCTGGTGTAAAGACGAATAATGACCCCCATAGAATAATGGCCGGGGGTCATTTTTCGACGTCGAATAATGACCCCCGGTCATTATTCAACGGCGAAAAATGACCCCCGGTCATTATTCGACGTCGAAAAATGACCCTTTTCCCCGTAGAAAAAGTGTCATCACCCTAAAAACCTGCATACCCCACGTGAAGAAAAATGACCCCCGTAGAATAATGACCCCTTGTGAATTACAGCGGATTAAAGTTGAAACTTTTAGGGGGCAAAATGAAAATAATAAAGAGACCTGTTGGCCAAAATGCTCACTTGGGCTTCACTGGGAATAAATCGATGATATATTGATCTCATTACATTATACAATCATTGCTGTTTTTAAGGTCAATTCAATGATTCAGAATCTAGTGGAGGTAAAGATTTATCGAGTCCAAAGGGCAAGGAGAGCATTGTTTTTCGATGGTGGAAAATCACTGATCGTTCTGACAGAAAAAAAAACAGCAGTAATTGTTTTATTATATGATTCAACGATTAAATTGATACAAACTGATTAAGGAGACATGTCAAGTTTCTTGTTTACATTTTCTCAAGTTCTAACCAAACACAGTGAAAGAATAGGAGTTAACATAAGCATAACCAGTATTAATTTTACATTTAAAATCTAGTTTTGGTGCAATGTAGAAAAAACAAATGTCAGGCATAGCATCGAAAGGGGCTTTTAATTAAAAATATCTTTGATGAACCCCTCTAAAAGTTTATTGATGTAAGTGGGATTTTCTTTTACTCTACTGTATCAAAAAGTTGGGGGGTAGGACAACCAAACTTGCAATGACCATTTTCAAGCGAAATAATACTTAAAAAACGTTCATGGAAATGGAAGGAGGTGGACACCCTATCCCTGATTCTATGTGCTTGAATGTTATGTTCATCTTGTTCACTCAAGTAGGAGAGATTTTTTAACTATACTGTATAAGAAAGAGGGGGTGGTTACAAGACTTTCAATGAACATTTTCAAATTAGAAATTGCTAAAATTTACATTCAGAAAAGGGGGAACAATCCCTCCCTCTTCTCCGATTCTTTGTGCCTGAATATTATGTTCACTTGAGTAGAATTCAGATGCAGGTGAAATAACTTTTCAGAATTGTTTTCAATCTATTTTTAGTTCAATGTAGGAAAAATACATCTTTATACATGTATTCACCTTGAAGGTCAATAAAATAGTCTGTCTTTAATTATAAATTAAAAACATTAATCTACTTCAATATACACTGTATTGAACATGTTTCCATATTGTTTTGACAATTGTATCACTGTTTTAAAGTGGATTGAAAAATATTCCTCTTACATGTATGTATCCTATTCTCAGACGACCATGTAAACAGACTTGAATGCACATTTTACTGGGATTCTCCTGTACGTATTACTTCTATATATTTGAAAAGAAATTCCCATAGAGTAGACCACTGTTTATAAATAAAACTGAATGCACATTATAAGATTGTATATATTTCAGACATGCAGAAATTTTATGTCCTTCTTATGTTTGTCACGTCTCCTTCATATTTGGACGTTCTACTGACTATAGAGGATAAAGACCAACTAACAACTAAATGGTCTGACAAAAGGGATGACTTCAGCCTTTTCTGTTGTCAATTTTCCTTATTTATGAATTAATATTCTGCAATCATTTGCATATAATATTTACGTCTACCAACTTATTCGATACCCAAGAGCACGATTAATTTTTAAATGAAGGCAGGCTACTGACAGATACATGTAAGTTGATGTTACAGGGTTTCAACAACCTCGTTTAAAGTCAGCATTTCGTAGATTCAATGGTCGTATCAATGACCCTGTCAACAAATATAACCTATAATTGGGTCAATTGATTGGCCCTTGTCTTTATACTAAATTCGACAACGTAATGTCCCGTTTACCTGATTTATTCATAGCGCTCACGGCAGGTGTGACGGGACAACAGGAGATGCTTACTCTTTCTAGGCACCTGATCCCACCTCTGCAATTTTTGGGGGTCCTT